AGTTTCCATGTGCTTGATTTTTTTTTCTTGCTTTTTCTGTTATTGATTTCTACTTTATGGTTTTATGGTCAGAAAAGTTGCTTTGTAATATTTCGATGCTTTGGATTTTGTTAAGGCTTGCTTTATGGCCTTATATGTGGTCTATTCTGGAGAATGTTCCATGTGTGTTGGGAAAGAAAGTATACTTGGCTGCTGTTGGGTGGAGTGTTTGGTATATGTCTATGAGATCAGGTTGGGTGATTGTAGCTTTTAGATCTTCTGTATCTTTGTTGAGCTTCTTTCTGGGTGTTCTGTCCTTCACTGAAAGAGGTGTGTTGAAGTCTCCCACTATTGTGGAGCTGTCTATCTCTCTTTTTAATGCTGTTAGAGTTTGTTTTATGTACTTTGGAGCCCTGTCACTGGATGGGTAAATATTTATTATAGTTATGTCCTCCTGGTGTATTGACTGTTTAATCATTATATAGTGTCCTTCCTTATCCTTTGTGGTGGATTTTACTTTATAGTCTATTTTGTAAGAGATTCATGTTGCCACTCCTCTTTTTTGAGTGTTGTTTCCTTGATATATTTTTTTCTATCCTTTGAGTTTTAGTTTGTTTGTGTCTTTAAGTCTAAGGTGTGTCTCTTGTGGGCATCATAGAGACAGATCACGTTTTTTAATCCAGTCTGCCACTCTGTCTCTTTATCGGTGCATTTAATCCATTTGCATTCAGCGTAATTATGGATTAAGTATGAGTTTAGTGCTGTCATTTCGATGTCTTTTTTTGTGTGTTGTTTACAGTTTCTTTGTTTCACTTAATTTTCTGTGCTGAGTTGTTTTTCTTTATGTATTTTCTTTTCATCTTTTTCACTGTTGTTGATTTTGTATTTGCTGAGTCTTTATATTTTTGTTGTTTTTTATTTTGACTTGTAGCATTGTTAGTTTCCTTTGTGGTTACCTTAATATTTACCCCTATTTTTCTACGTTTATACCAGTCTTTTATTTCTTTATATCGCCTTGACTTTCTCTCCATATGAAAAATCTATGTCTACATTTTTTAAGTCCCTCTTTTTTGTTTTAATGTTCTCATCTTTTACATATTGACATCTGCTTCCATATTTTCAGTGTTTTAGCTTTGGTTTATTTTTGTGACTTCCCTATCTGGATTGATATCTCGTTACTGTGTCCTGGGTTCTAGTGTTGGGTTGTTATCTAGTGGTATTGATTTTCTAACCAGAGGACTTCCTTTAGTATTTCTTGTAATTTTGGTTTGGTTTTTGCAAGTTCCCTAAAGTTCTGTTTATCTGGAAATGCCTTAATTTCGCCATCATATTTGAGAGACAGTTTTGCTGGGTATATAATTGTTGGCTGGCAGTTTTTTTCCTTCAAGGGTTTATAGATGTCATCCCATTGCCTTGTTGCCTACCTGGTTTCTGCTGAGTAGTCTGAGCTTAGTTTTATTGACTCTCCTTTGTAGATGACTTTTCGTTTATCCCTAGCCGCTGTTAAAATTCTCTTTTTTTCTTTGGTTTTGGTAAGTTTGATTATAATATGTCTTGGTGACTTTCTTTTTGGGATCTACCTTATGTGGGGTTCGATGAGTATCTTGGAGAGATATCTTCTCATCTTTCACGATATCAGGGAAGTTTTCTGCCAACAAATCTTCAACCATTCTCTCTGTATTTTCTGTCATCCTCCCATTCTGGTACGCCAGTCACCCATAGGTTATTCCTCTTGATAAAATCCCACATAATTCTTAGAGTTTCTTCATTCTTTTTAATCCTTTCATCTGATTTTTCCTCAAATAAGTTGGTGTCAAGCGCTTTATCTTCAGCCTCACTAATTCTGACTTCCATTGCCTCAATTCTGCTCTTATGACTTTCTATTGAGTTGTCTAATTTTGAAATTTATTGTTAATCTTCTGGATTTCTGATTGCTGTCTCTCTATGGATTCTTGCAGCCTGTTAAATTTGTCATTATGCTCTTCTCTAATCTTTTTAATTTCCTCTTTTGCGTGTTCTGTGTTTTGCTTAATTTCCTAATATCTTGAATGTTTTTGTATATTAATCTTTTGTATTCTGCCTCTGGTAAGTCCAAGAAATTTTCTTCCTTTGGAAAATTTCTAGATTCTTTATTTTGGGAGCTTGCTGAAGTCATCATGGACTGCCTCTTTATGTGATTTGATATTGACTGTTGTCTCCGAGCCATCAATAAGTTACTGTGTTTATTTATTTTACGTTTGCTTACTGTGTCCTAGCTTCTTGTTTTGTTGTGTTTTGATATGCCCAAATAGGCTGTTCGTGTGAGCTAGCCCAGTCACTGGCACCCTTGAAGCTCCAATGTCCTGCCCCCAGATGGCCAGACCTGCCACTAAGTATGTGATCTGAGGAGTTTGCCCACTCCTCCTGTATGGATTCAGCTCATGTGTCCAGGTAGTTGGCCACCAAATGTGTAGTGTAGGCTCTCGCCTACAGTTCCAGATAGGCGTGGGCAATTGGTGTAGGCACAGACATCCTCCTGCAGCAGGGGGACACAGGCTGAGTAAGGCAGAGGGTTGATGTCCACCCCCGAGTGTCCAGGAGGAAAGCGTGTCCCTGTTGCCTAGAGCGTGTAGATGAATGGCTTTCACAGCCAGACTGTGAGAACCCAGTGCTGTTGGCTGTAAGGACTGGGGGGCTCCTCTTATTCTTGGGCCCCTATAGCAGGTGGCTAGGTGGCGTGGGTGGAGCCACCAATTTTCAGGCCCCTGATGTGGGTAGGTGAAGACCCTGCTTACTGGGCAGAGCATGTCAAATGTCACGAACCTGCCGCTTCACAAAATGAAACAGTTGAAGTTAGACTTCAGGTATATATCCTGTTGTACTGCACTAATGAGGACCTACACTGTTGAAATAGGCCCTCACAAATCTATGCAGGGGGAAAGTCACTCAAAGTCAGTGGATCCCTTATGCCTGTGCATGGGCAAAGGAGCTGTGTCTACCCTGAGTTCCTGGCTTAGGGGAGCCGGCAGATTATTTTTCCCGTTTGTTAATTGTTCAGTCTCCAAGGCCAGGAGAATGGCTCAAGGCATGTGATGGGTCCTACTTCAGCCTAGGTGTCGTGACAATTGCTGAAGCCAGTCCTGGACCCAGTGCAGAGCAGGGAGTAGGGAGGTAAATGGGAGACAGGTTTTTCCCTAAGAGGGGTGTTTTTTATCTGCACGGTAGGCCAGATGCAAGTACTTATCTTTTGCCAATCAAGGGCTGCTTCTCACTGGTTCTGGATGGCTGAGTAGACTCTCTGCCGCTGGGTCTCTCCCGGTGTGGAAAACACTCCCTGAGTGCCACTGCTTGCCTGCCTCACCACTCACCTCCAAGCTCATACAGGCTGAACGGCTCAGGCTCTCGCCGAGTTGGGTCTGGCAACTCCTCCCTGCTTCTGAACCATCTCTCCCTCCCCCTGCCACTCAGTCCAGTTCCTCAACTTTGCTTTTGATGTTCAGGGCTCCTAGATTGTAATATATAATCGATTCACTTGTTTTTTCAGGTCTTTGTTGTAAGAGGGAACACTGGAAGTGTCTGACTACTCTGCCATCTTGGCCCCACCCCCATATATTCTATCTTTAATCCCTTATCTCTCTCAAAAGTTTTTCTGAAAATTTCATCTTATATTCCTAAAGGATAAATGCCATAGAGTCAGATTAGCTCCTGACAGTGAGTTTTCATGTAGGAAAAGTCCCAGGTTTTTGGGATCCAGGGGGCCTTGCTGGGAACTTTGCAACCCCTCCAGGACTGTGGAATCTGGAGAATTGTTCAATAAGACTCTTCCTCTTTCCAGTTGGAAGTCATCTTGAGCTTATCTTTAGTGGTAAAAATAAGGAAATGGGTCTGCTTTCTCCACATATTTATTTTACAATTACTTTATTGCTCTGAGAGAAGAACTTTAAATTAAATTGGTCACCACAGGAGGCTTGACTTCCTACTTGTGAAGAGTGGCATGAACTGGTCAAGAAGGGTTGGATCTTCTCATGAATATTTTCATTTTATTAAAAATTATTTTATTATTTTTGTGGTTGTTGAAAATATACACAGCAGTACATACACTAATTCAACAATTTCTGCATGTACAATTCAATGACATTGACTATACTCTTCAAGTTGTGCAACCATTCTCACTCTCCATTTCCAAATTGTTCCTCCTCCATTGACACAAATTCTTGCCCCCTAAGCTTCCTGCCTTACCCTTTGAGTTGCTCTTGTCAGTTTGATCCCATATAGATAGCTCTTTAAAAGAAAACAGTGCTCAAAAGGCAGATATTCTTTACTAATTAAGCTAGACTATTGCTTGGTTTAAAGAAGACGTCAGGGAATATCTTTGTTTTAAGGTTTAAAGATTATCTAAAGATAATAATTTTGGGGATTAATCCAGTCTCACTGGTTCCAGAAAGTGTAGGTGCCATGAGAATTTTAAATTCTGCTCTATATTTTTGCCCCTTTTGATCATTATTTTATGTTCAGTAATGGTAGCCAGGTACTATCCAGTTCTTCTGGTTTCATGGCAAAGCATGCAGTTGTTCATGGAGGCAATTAGCCATGTATTCTATTGAATATTTTCATTTTTAAGTGGAAGCACAGATTAGAAATAACTGACTTAGTTGAATTGGTGGCTCATGGATCAGCCGTAGTGCAGACTATGTCCTCATGCTGATTGGGAGGTGAGAGCCAAACACAGCATCTGGTATGCTAGCATCCACTTAATGTTTTTAATTAAGTGAATGAACTGCAGAGATATGTGCTGTCTAGCAAATATAGTTTAATAATATATTAATCTGATTTCTGACCACAGATTGAGGTGGGTGGACCTCATGTGTGCCATATGCAATGGTCATATCCCAGGCGTCAATGACACCTATATTAATATCCTGGAAAATTTCCTTCATGGCAAGATACTGAATGTAGCCATGAAAGTCACTGAATCTCTCTGGATCACTGTACATCTCCCTGGTGTTTTCTGCCTTGATGATAACCATAGTGTCTGGGCTTCTCAGAAGAAGACGCCAAACAGCTTTGTGGACATTGAGGGCCCTTCGGATGAAAACATCAATGGGAAAGGGTCTAAAATGCTGGCCCAGAGAAATAACAATGACAGTATTTTTTCCTCCTCCAATTCTGTCAATGACCCGGGCGATGTACTCAATCTCTTTGACTGAATAGGTCAATGATCCAATCAAGGGGTAACCATGTTTTTGCCACTGGATGTTGATATTCCTATCCAAGTCCACAGCAAGTTGATGTTGAAGTTTTCCAGATTCATGCAGATCCACTGACTTCAGTGCTGACGACAAATATGTAATCCCAAAATCAAAAGAGAATAAGGTTACCAAGATTGACTAGTCATAAAGATAGAAGAAAAGATTTGGTGTTTATAAATGAACAAATTGGTCATGTTTGATTTATTATAGTTTAAATGAGAGAATAGTTTTGAAAGCTGAACAATCAAAAGTGTTGTATGAATGTAAGAGATTATGTTGCCCATTTGTAGAATCATGTGGGATCAAATGGACTAGTGATGGTAAGACACTGAAGTAACTTCATTAGGGAATGATGTGGTCAGTTTTGTAGGTATTATTTTTGTACATTTTGTTAACTGTAGACTACATTAATCTGAGGATAGAGAAAGGTACTATTGGATACAAGAAAACTGGAAACTTAGCTATTTACCTGGTACTCTGTAAGTTTAAGAGTGAGATTGCATTCTATACTTCTATACTTCCTTTACATAGTCATAGAAAAGTACTGAGTACATCATCTATAATAATAATAATAGTATTATTTCTTATTTGTAAAGTACGTTACAGTTTACAAAACATTTATTTGGATGATTTTTTCATTCACCTCTAAGCTCTTTCTCTCTCTCTATATATATGTGTTATTGCTGTGTTATGAAAAACCAAACCAAAAGGGGAAATGATCCGCCCAAGATTGTTGTTTTTAGGTGCCGTCGAGTCAGTTCCAACTCACAGTGACCGATGTACAACAGGACGAAACACTGCCCAGTCCCATGCCATCCTCACAATCATTGCTATGTTTGAGCCCATTGTTGCAGCCACTGTGTCAATCCATCTTGTTGAGGGTCTTCGTCTTTTTGGCTGACCCTCTGCTTTACCAAACATGATGTCCTTCTCCAGGGACTGATCCCTCCTGATAACATGTCCGAAGTACGTGAGACAAAGCCTTGCCATCCTTGCTTCTAAGGGGCATTCTGGCTGTACTTTTTCTAAGACAGATTTGTTTGTTCTTCTGGCAGTCCATGGTGTATTCAATATTCTTTGCTAACACCGTAATTCAAAGGTGTCCGTTTTTTTTTAGTCTTCTTTATTCATTGTTCAGCTTTCACATGTATATGAGGGAATTGAAAACGCCATGGCTATGGTCAGGTGCACCTTAGTCCTCAAAGTGACATCTTTACTTTTTAACACTTTAAAGAGGACTTTTGCAGCAGATTTGCCTAATGCAATGTGTCCTTTGATTTCTTGACTGCTGCTTCCATGGGCGTTGATTGTGGATCCATGTAAAATAACATCCTTGACAACTTCAGTCTTTTCTCTTTAATCATGATGTTGCTTATTGGTCCAGTTGTGAGGATTTTTGTTTTCTTTATGTTGAGGTGTAATCCATACTGAAGGCTATGTGTTATCTTTGATCTTCATCAGTAAGTGCTTCAAATCCTCTTTGCTTTCAGCCAGCAAGGCTGTGTCATTTGCATATCGCAGGTTGTTAATGAGTCTTCTTCCAATCCTGATGCCCCATTCTTCTTTTTACGGTCCAGCTTCTCAGATTATTTGCTCAGCATACACATTGAGTAAGTGTAAAGATACAACCCTGACACACACCTTTCTTGATTTTAAACCACGCAGTATTCCCTTGTTCTGTTCGATAGACTGCCCCTTGATCTATATACAGGTTACACAGGAGCACAATTAAGTTTTCAGCAATTCCCATTCTTTGCAGTGTTAGCAATAATTTGTTATGATCTACACAGTCGAATGCCTTTGCATAGTCAATAAAATACAGGTAAACATTTTTCTGGCATTCTCTGCTTTTAGCCAAGATCTATCTGACATCAGCAATGGTATCCCTCATTCCATGTTCTCTTCAGAATCTGGCTTGAATTTCTAGCAGTTTCCTGTCAACGTACTGCTGCAATAGTTTTTGAATTATATTCAGCAAAATTTTACTTGCATGTGATGTTAATGATGTTGTTTAATAATTTTTGCATTCTGCTGGATCACCTTTCTTTGGAATGGGCACATACGGATCTCTTCTAGTCGGTTGGCCAGGTAGCTGTCTTCCCAATTTCTTGGCATAGACGAGCACTTCCTGCGTTGCATCTGTTCGTTGAAACATCTCAATTGGTGTTCCATCAGTTCCTGGAGCATTGTTTTTCACCAGTGCCTTTGGTGTAGCTTGGACCTCTTCCTTCATTACCATTGGTTCTTGATCATATGCTACCTTCTGAAATACTTGAATGTTGCCCAGTTCTTTTTGGTACAGTTACTCTGTGTATTCCTTCCATCTTTTTTGATGATTCCTGTGTTGTTCAATATTTTGCCCATAGAATCCTTCAGTATTGCAACTCATGGCTTGAATTTTTTCTTCAGTTCTTTCAGCTTGAGAAATGCTAAGGGTGTTTCTCCCTTTTGCTTTTCTATCACCAGGTCTTTGCACATTTCATTATAATACTTTACTTTGTCTTCTCAAGCCACCTTTTAAAATCTTTTGTTCATCTCTTTTACTCCTTCATTTCTTCATTTCACTTTAGCTACTGTACATTCAAGAGCGAGTTTCAGAGTCTCTTCTGAGATCCATTTTGGTCTTTTCTTTATTTCCTGTCTTTTTAATCACCTTTTGCTTTCTTCATGTATGGTTTCCTTAATGTCATCCCACAACTCACCTGGTCTTTGGACATTAGTGCTCAGTGCATCGTATCTATTTTTGAGATGGTCTTTAAATTCAGGTAGGAGATACTGAAGGTTATAAGTTAGTTCTTGTGGACTTGTTCTAATTTTCTTCAGATTTAACTTGAACTTGCATATGAGCGACTGACAGTCTGGTCCCTAGTTTGCCCCTGGCCTTGTTCTGACTAATGATATTGAACTTCTCCATTGTCTCTTTCCACAGATGTATTCATTTTGATTCTTGTGTATTCGTATAGTCACCGTTCATGTTGTTGAAAAGTGTTTTTCTAATGAATAAGTCATTTGTCTATTAAGTAACAGAATCAGCGCTTAGACTTGAAGTTCTTCCCAATTCTTGTGAAAATAGTCTACCTGATCTCAATACTTTTGAAGATAGTATAATATGAGTCATATAAAATGAAGTCCTTCCATTTTTCATTGGACTAATTACTCCCTTAACAGAACATCAAGGGCAGATGCTTTGTAGCTAGAACTTCTGAGAAAAGTGTTTAGAAAAGAATTATTAATGTTTTGTAACAGGTGCCATCTTAGATTTAAATGGCTACATTTGAAGTCTTAACCCAGTGAGGTTTGGAAATGTAGGTGCTGCAGTGGCAGGGTGGGGGGAAATGGCTAAACTGTTTTCTTAATTCTGCTTCCAATATTCTTCAGTTTTCTTTCCCAAAGTACACTCTGGCCATAGAATTTAACTTTTAACAAAATATGCAGCAGATATTTTCCTACCACAACTGAAAAGATTAGCTGAAGAGGGTAGGTAACTCAGTAATTCAGTACTTTATATAACCTAAGAGATCCACAATTATAGAGATCCACCATTACATGAGGCTAAAGGATATCCCCTTATTTTACAGATGAAGAAACTGAGGTTCTGAGGAGTTTGGGAGTTTATCAGAGGCCACAGTTTAAAACTCTCCCCTTCTGTTGGGAATTCCCCCTTAGAACTTGGGGCCAAGATGCTACTAATTTTACTTTTTATAAGGAGGAATAAATAGGAGCCCTGGTGGCGCAGTGGTTAAGAACTATGCTTGCTAACTAAAAGGTCAGCAGTTTGAATCCACCAGCTGCTCTTCAGAAACCCTATGGGGCAGTTCTACTGTGTTCTGTTGGGTCACTATGAGTCGGAATTGACTTGTCAGCGGTAGGTTTTCTTTTTTTTTTTTTTTTAATAAAGAGGAATAGTTTTCATCTAGGTTGAGATCACAGGAGTGACTTCATGTCAGTAAGACCAGGGTGCTGCTATACCTGCTACATTGTCCTCTGTGATAAGAGCCCAGGGCACAGAGACATGGAGGGGCAGGCAGTGATGGGTTTCCAGGTCAGATCACTTGTGGATTATGATTTATTATTGGTGTACTCTTGGTTTAGTGAAAAGAACAACTGGATTCTAACCCCAACTCTGACATTAACTAATAATAATAATTACAGTAGCTATGGTTTATTGGGGAGTTTCTGAGTAGTTCAAACAGTTAATGCACTCGGCTGCTAACTGAAAGGTTGCAGGTTCGATTCCATGCAGAAGCACCTCAGAAGAAAGGCCTGGTGATCTGCTTCTGAAAAATCAGCCACTGAAAACCCTAAGGAGCACAGTTCTACTCTGACACACATGGGTCACGATGAGTTGGATTGACTTGACTCTATGGCAAGTGTTGTTGTTTTTTTTTTTAATATTGTCTTTTGGGCACTTTCTGTGTGCCTATGTGTCTTGCATTGTGTTAAATATTTTATAGTTGGTACCTCATTTAATCTTCCTAACAGCCACCAGATACTGTTATTATTCTTAGTTGACTGATGAGGAAAATGAGACAGAGAGAACAAGTAACATGCCCAAGGTCATGGATTCTAAGTAGCACAGCCTAGGTCTGTCTGACTCCAGAGTCTGTGTTTTTAACCATTGTGCCTAGCTAATGCAGTGTCATCGCCTTGCCCCTGGTGTCTGTCCTCTCATCGAATAACAATAATAACAATAGCTTACACCTATAGAGAACTTACTTGCAACAAACAGTATTCTAAACGCTTTGCATATATTATCTCATTTAATCCTCATGACAACCTTACCAGGTGGGAACTAATTTTGTCTCCATTTTACAGATGAGGAAACTAAGGGACAGAAGGCCCACTCAACATGTGAAGAAAACAGGCTGTCTCAGTCTAGTATCTGCATGCTTAGTCCTCATGCCATATTGTGGAAGGTGGACAATATAATATCTTCAGCTCTATCAATTTTCTGAGCATGCTGGGTAAATACCTAAGTGTGTGTTCTTTGGGGACAGGGATGTAATATTCCTTTGTCTACACTGGCTCCCTTCCAGTCAGATAAATGTATTCTTTTAAAGGAAAGATAATGATGTCTTGTGAAAAGTTTTAGTGTGTTGTGATTAAGGAATATGAAAAAGAAGAGATGTTTCCCATATTCCTTTCTCTTCTTGAAATGAACAAGAAGTTTCCAAAAGGGATTTCAATAATAACTTAGACTGAGACATACTGTTGATATTTTGTTTGAAGTATTCCATCCACTGGCGGATTGTGGAATCACCCATGAGATATATGAGTTTTCCTCTCAGGCATTCTTTCATTTCAGTGGGAGTCAAGCTACAGGAGACAGGATTCCAGGTGTCTTCCCAGACATGCCCACTGGGGACTGTGGATCTCATCCCAAGCTTGCATTTCTCTTTCCTTGGAACTGCTTGTACTGCCAAAGAATCAACAAGATAAGATCTTCTAAAACATCAAATTACCAATACGTGTTTACTAAGAGCCTACTGTCTTTTCTAGATACCCTTTTAGTAGGGGTAAATGTGGCTTTAGTGGCGGAAAAGTCTTATTGAAGCATCCTGTTAATGGGATAGATATTTTTTCAGTAAAATATTTCTCTGAAGTGAATTTTCTAAATGATCCCCATTAATGTTCATTGTGAAAGCAGATGTTTTCTCCCAGAAAAGGAAAATATGGCCTTCTGGGTAAAATTTGAAATATTTGGTTGCTTTTCTATGGAAGTAAAGCCATCAATTCTTGCCTAGTAATGAATGCTCAATTACACTATCATTTTAGCCCACTTCACCCCCAAGCTTGTCACACTCTGTCACAGTGTCTTCAATGCCACCATCAAATTGTAAATCTTTTGAGTTAAAGGCAGGGTGATGGAAAAAAAATTAACAACTGGTTTTGGCTTGGGAACTGGTTGATTTGTAATGGGTATGGTTGTTGGCTCTGAAGTAGGGTCTTGGAGGCCCAAGATGTGCCAGGTATTAACCTGTTAGTCAGTGGTTTATGAAGAGTCTGGGAATCTGAGAGGATGAGGTGCTATGATGGTGAGGAGCCCTTGGTTGGCTTGGGGCAGTGATTATTCACCCACCAAAGGGAAACCCAAAAAACCAAATGGAAATAGTTTAATATTTTGACAAGTGGTACGAGTGTACCCATGTATCCTGAGTGAAAAATATGCAATTTCTATCTCTAGGCACATATTTAGACTTCAGTGTGAATAAATTTATTGGTGATTAGCAAGCAGTTAATGCTGAACTTCAAGGGACACAAAAGTTCTTGCCTTAAATCATTCTAGGCTGTGAGGGGTCGAAGAAATTGAAGAGAAATTAGTAAATATAACTATGAAAGTGCTATCTTATATGTTAAAATATCTTGAAAGACAACAAAGACGAAGAAGAGGTTGGAAACCTCTAGATGGTGATTCTTGGGCCAGTAGTGATGTGGGATGTGGTGATGGTGGTGGTGGAGGTGTGAGGAGGCATGCTGTAAGGGATGGTGGTGGTAGTGATGGTGCAGATGTGAGAAGTGGCAGTGGTGTGGGTAGGTAGAGAACTATGTGTAGAAGTGGGAAAGAGGTTTGACATTTGAAGGTTATTGTGTTAGATGGGCGGGTAATCTGTTTCCTGATAAGCAGATTGGTAATGAGAGTTACAGCTAGTAAAACAGGTTTGTGATTTCCTAGAGTTTACACTTATTCACTCACTTAGGTAACTGATATCTTGGCCTACCTTAGAGAAGCCAGATTGGCAGGGTGGCAGTAGGACTGATAGCAGTGAACAAATTCAGCAGAAAGAGGAAACCCTTTCAGGGGGTCTACGACTAGCTACAGATGGCAGTGGTCTGATCTCGTTGTACATGAGGTTGCCATGAGTTGGGAGCCAACTGAATAGCAGCTAACAACAACAACAACAGGACTGAGCACCACCTACCAAGCACAGGGAGAACTTACTGTTGCATTTGGAGACGTGAATGGCTTTGAAGCTTTCCATAATCTCTACGCCCACATTTGATCTTAAAAAGACAAATACAGAAATTAATCTGCAGGTAGCCCAAAATACCAGGAAATAAGAGAAGCCAGATTATCTAGCTTTAGTTATTTCTTGGTGATAAGTTAACCACTATGCCCAGAGATTCAGGCCATTTAGTAAAATTTCATTTCTCTGCTTATTAGTACATGGGATGCAGACATCCAGTAGGTGTACAAGGTGATTTATTGCAATGCAGAAAGAATATATTAGAGCATACATACACACTCATCTATTTCTCACCCTCTTTTAATTTTTATTTATGTGTTTCAACGTAAGAGTTTTTTGTTTCAGTGATAAGGGTTAAATATCCAAAAAATTTTGGGGACTGTGGAGAGTAGGCACAGTCCCCAGGTCAATTCACAGATTCCTTCCCAAATGCCTTTTCATAAAGAGTTCCAACATTGATATACTGATAAGAACTTCATTTGGATTAACATACAGTCACACCATATTTGCCCAAGTAATCTCCAGAAATAGTGATTTACCTTTGAAAGAGGCTCCTTTCTTGTTTGCTGAGATAAGAAACTTCCTTGTTCTTGGAGTGCATGTGGGTGAGTGCAGCACAGGGCATTTGTTGAGGTTTCACGCAGTAGAAGGTCTCTTGGTCTTGAGCATCTAGGTACTGGCACAGTTTAGCACTTGAGTTTAAAACCAGGGCACAATCAGTATTGACATGGCAGATGCATCCGGAAAACTGGCCAGTGAAGATCACCCTGTCGTAGCCTTGGTTCCTTGCCCGCCAGAGAGCGGACACTCCTTCACTGGGGTGGATGAGCAGCAGGGACAGAGACACCTAGCCCTCCCAGAACAGAGTGAAGCGGACAAGGTAGGTGCCGTTGTTGAAGTCGGTCACCTCTCCTGAAGCACCTGCCTTCAAGGCTGGGGAAGACATCCTGGCCCTCAGGAAATCCCCACCATACTCCTTCCTGCATCCCATGTGGTCCCTCACCTCCAACAAGAGGTCTAGCTGCTCCCCTGTGCAGTAGGTGTCTCGAGGATTGAGCACAGTGACTCTGCTGTGTGCTGCGCTGGTGGTGGTGTTCATGTGGGGGAAAGGTCTGGGTGGGATCAGCTGATCTAATTTCGTCGTGATTTCCTTTATCCTCAGGTCAGTCTTTACTGGTGAAATCACTGGACACAATGGTGCTTCAGGGCGTGAGGACTTCTTGAAATTCTAGTAATGGAGGGAAACGGGCAACATGAGTGCAGTCCAAAACTAAAATGATAAGGAGTATGATAGAGAGCATAGAAACTGTCCCTATTTAATATGTTAATTTTTGGTGGGTTAGCCATCTTCTATCTTGTATTGACTAATGGAGAGATAGAAAAATAAAATGTTGAAATTTTATAATCATATATTATCTCATATGAAAAATGATTTTCCTTAGAAAATCTTATGGTGGAACTCCACTTCTTACTGGTTAATTTATTTTAGATGAGCCTTTTAATCCCTTCAAATCTATTATTTTCCTTAAGGTGGTGATGCTAAAATCTACCTTATAGGGCTTTTGCAAAAATCAAATGAGAAATGTTTTTTTATTGGTTAACTAGAGAACAAATGTTTTATTCTTTTTATTATCTGAAAAGTAAAATTCAGTAATTTAAGTAAATCCTTAAGAAACTGTTTAAAATACATGGGGCTTCTTTGTAAAAATATGGATTATCTATTTTCCTATTTCATCTTTTACATTTTGCTTAAATATTCTATGAGATTTATTAGTATTTTTCAGAATATTTTTGCTCCTATAGAAGATACAGAAAAATAAGTTTATAAAAAAATTTATTTTCTAATCATAAAACTGATTTATTATTAAAAATGAAATAATACAGAAACCGTATAGGAAGAAAAATCACCTATGATCATACCAACCATTGATAACTACTGTTAACATTTTGGTGAATTTCTCTCATTCTTCAATCATTTTACGTGATTGTGAACAAATTGAATATTTACCATTGAATTTTGGTTTTTAAAAAAAGTTGTCATTAAAAATGCTCCACCTTATTTTGAAGGCTCACATAATATTCCAGCCTGTGGCTATAGCTGATAGCTGCGTGGCGTCAGGGTAGTATCCTTTCACTGTACTTATTCAGTCTGTATGCTGAGCAAATAATCCGAGAACCTGGACTATATGAAGAAGAATGGGGTATCAGGATTGGAGGAAGACTGATTAACAACCTGCCTTATGCAGATGACACAACCTTGCTTGCTGAAAGTGAAGAGGACTTGAAGCCCTTACTGATGAAGATCAAAGACCACAGCCTTCAGAATGGATTACACCTCAACATAAAGAAAACAAAATCCTCACAACTAGACCAATAAGCAACATCATGATTAACGGAAAAAAGATTGAAGTTGTCAAGGATTTCATTTTACTTATATCCACAGTCAGCAGCCATGGAAGCAGCAGTCAAGAAATCAAAAGATGCATTGCATTGGGCAAATCTGCTGCAAAAGACCTCTTTAAAGTGTTAAAAAGCAAAGATGTCATTTTGAGGACCAAGGTGCACCTGACCCAAGCGATGGTGTTTTCAGCTGCCTCATATGCATATGAAAACTGGACAATGAATAAGGAAGACCAAAAAAGAATTGATACCTTTGAATCATGGTGTTAGCAAAGAATATTGAATATACCATGGACTGCCAGAAGAATGAACAAATCTGTCTTGGAAGAAGTACAGCCAGAATGCTCCTTAGTACCAAGGATGATGAGACTTTGTCTCACGTACTTTGGACGTGTTATCAGGAGGGATCAGTCCTGAAGAAGGATATCATACTTGGTAGAGTGGAGGGTCAGTGAAAAAGGGGAATACCCTCAGCGAGATGGATTGACACAGTGGCTCCAACAATGAACTCAAGCATAACAATTGTGAGGATGGTGCAGAACTGAGTAGTGTTTCATTCTGTTGTACATAGGGTCACTATGAGTCGGAACCGACTTGATGGCACCTAACACAACATGTGGTTGAAAAGTTATTACAAATGACATGAGGTGATACAATATGAACTCTGAAAGTTAAGGATGTGTATTGTAATCCCTAGAAAAACCACTTAAAAAAACTATATATATATGTATGTATGTGCGTATGTGTGCATATATATATGTGTGTGTGTTCTAAAAAAGTATTCATTTACCCCAAAAGATGGCAGAAGGTACTAACAGAGGAACAAAAAGAGGAGGGGACAAACAGAAAACAAAGAGCAGAGTGGTGGACCTAAATCCACTTATATTAAGAATTACATTAAATGTGAGTAGACTAGATTCCCTACTAAAAGGCAGAGGAAAAAAGCAAGACCCAAGTATTTGCTGCCTGGAAGGAATTAAGTTTAAATATAAAGATACAGATAGATTGAAAGTAAATGTATGGAAAATGATACACATGTAAGCATCAGAAAATTAATATTAAAGTAGACTTCAAGACAAAGAATATTACCAGAAATAAAGATGGACATTTCATAATGATAAAAGGGTTAATTGGCCGGAAAACATATTACTATAAATGTTTATGTGTCTACAAATACATGTACTTATACATGAAGCAAAAATTGACTGAAGGGAGAAATGGAAAAACCCACCATCATAATTGCAGATTATACAAAAATCAGGAAGGAGCCAGAGAATCTGAACAGCATTATCATAGTAATGTTTTAATTTTTTTTTTTAAATTTTGTTGTTGAGACTATACACAGCAAAATATATTGTTGTTGTTTGGTGCTGTCTAGTTGGCTCCAACTCATAGTGACCCTGTGTACAACAGAATGAAACATTGCCCAGTCCTGTGCCGTCCTCACAAATGTTACTATGTTTGAGCCCATTGTTGTAGCCACTGTGTCAATCCATCTCATAGAGAGTCTTCCTCTTTTTTGCTTGCCCTATACTTTACTCTGGTGGTGCAGTGGTTAAGAGCTCGGCTGCGAACCAAAAGTTTGGTAGTTCGAATCCAGCAGCTACTCCTTGGAAACCCTATGGGGCAGGTCTTCTCTGTCCTGTAGGGTTGCTATGAGTTGGAATCGAGTCAACGGCAACAGGTTTGGTTTTGGTCTTTATACTTCACCAAGCATGATGTCCTTCTGCAGTGACTGGTCCCTCCTGATAACATGTACAAAATATGTAAAACGAAGTCTCGCCATCCTTGCTTCTAAGGAGCATTCTGGCTGTACTTCTTCCTAGACAGATTTGTTCATTCTTCTGTCATCCATGGTATATTCACTATATTTTGCCAGCACCATGATTCAAAGGCACCAATTCTTCTTTGGTCTTCCTTATTCATTGTCCAGCTTTCACACGTATGAGGCGATTGAAAATACCATGACTTGGGTCAGGTGCACCTTAGTCCTCACCGTAACGTCTTTACTTTTTAACACTTTGAAAAAGTCTTTTGTAGCAAAACATATACCGATTCAACAGTTTCTGCATGCACTATTTAGTGACATTGATTAAATTCTTTGAGTTGTGCAACATTGTCAACCTCATTTTCTGAGTTGTTCCTCCCCTATTAGCATAAATTCACTGCCCCCTAAGGTTCCTATCTAATCTTTCGAGTTGCTGCTATCATTTTGATCCCATATATGGATAGTTCTTAAAAGAGCATAATGCTCAAGGAAGACATTTTTTACTAGTCTGGTTTTAAGAAGACTTTGGGGCATATTTTTGGTTTAAGGTTTAAAGATTATCTCAGGGAAATAGTTTCAGGGGTTCATCCAAACTTCATGAATTCGGGATGTCTGGAGTCCATGAGAATTTGAAATTCTGTTCTGCATTTTCCCCCTTTTGATCAGAATTCTTCTATAGAATCTTTTGTCAAAATGTTGGGTAACGGTAGCCAGGCACCATCTCGTTCTTCTGGTCTCACGGCAAAGGAGGCAGTTTTTCATGGAGGCAATTAACCACTCCATATCCTCCTCCTATTTCTGACTCTCCTTCTTCCTCTGTTGCTCCAGGTGAATAGAGCCCAGTTGTTGTGAGTTGGATGGGCACTTGCAAGCTTTTATGACCTCAGGCACTCCATAGAGAGCTAGGAGGTAGAACATAAGCACTAACCATATTATTAGGCCAGTTAATTGGGATGTCCCTTGAGACCATGACCCTAAACCTCCAAACCAAGGAACTAAACCCCGTGAGGTGTTTGGTTGTACATAAGCAGCCTCAACAGCTATTCTTTTTTTTTTTTCTGTCATTGTTGTAAATATGTCTATCACATAATGTTTACCAATTCAGTTTTTTACGGGTGTACAACTTTTTGACAGCAATTACAATAATCAGCTTTGCAGTACTACCCATAATCAATGAGATGTTTCCATCACTGTAGCCCCCCTTCCCCCCTTCCCTTCTGCCCTTGTTATTGTTAGGTGCCATCGAGTCAGTGCCGACTCATAGCGACCGTGTGTACAACAGAACAAAACACTACCTGGTCCTGCACCACCCTCACAATTGTTGCTATGCTTGAGTCCATTGTTGCATCCACTGTGTCAATCCATCTCCTTGAGGGTTTTGCTTGTTTCCACTGATTCTGTACTTTACCAAGCGTGATGTCATTCTCCAGGGACTGATACCTCCTGATAACATGTCCAAAGTATGTGAGATGTAGTCTTGCCATCCTTGCTTCTAAGGAGCATTCTGGGTGTACTTCTTCCAAGACAGATTTGTTCATTCTTTTGGCAGTCCATGGTATATTAGTATTCTTCTCCAACACCAGAATTCAAAGGCGTGAATTCTTCTTCAACCTCCTTATTAATTGTCCATCTTTTGCATGCCTATGAGGCAATTGAAAACACCATGGCTTAGGTCAGGCGTACCTTAGTCCTCAAGGTGACATCTTTGGTTTTCAACACTTTAAAGAGGTCTTTTGCAGCAGATTTGCCCAATGCAATGCATCTTTTGATTTCTTGACTGCTACTTCCATGGGTGTTGATTGTGGACCCAAGTAAAATGAAATCCTTGACAACTTCAGTCTTTTCTGCTTTTATCGTGATGTTGCTTATTGTTCCACTTGTGAGGATTTTTGTTTTCTTTATGTTGAGGTGTAATCCATACTGAAGGCTGTGGTCTTTGATCTTCATCAGTAAGTACTTCAAGCCCCCTTTACTTTCAGCAAGCAAGGTTGTGTCATCTGCATAACACAGATTGTTAATCAGTCTTCCTCCAATCCTGACGCCCCGTTCTTCTTCAAATA